AGGTAAAACACAACCCTTGCTGGTATAAACACTGTTTTAGGACAGTGGTTTTCAGTGTGGCCCCTGGATCACATGGGGATTTTTTTAGAAGTGCAAATCTTTGGGTCTCACCCCAAACCTACTGAATCTAAAACTCTGTGTGAAAGCCCTACAGATGACTGTGATGCATGCTCAACTTTGAGAACCACTGTGCTGACATGGGAATAATAAATTCTGTCCAGGTTGATCAGTGAAGAGGTAGAAGAATAGAGGAAGTTACTTTGAACAGGGCCTTAAAGAATGTCTCAGAGTTCTCTACACCATATTTCTTCCTCCAGTTAAACAGAATATGATGCATCTAGAAAACCAATAGATTTATGTTATGGGAAAGAGCATGAGCTTTGGAGTTTTGTATAGGATGTCTTCCTGGAGGATAGTTTGGTATTATGCATCAAAAGCCTAGAAATTCTACTTTTAAGAATTTATCCAAAGGAAATAATTGCTCAAGAGTACAAAGATAAATTCACAAAAATGTTTTTAAAAGCATTGTTTCTAAAAGTGAAAAAATGAGAATCTACCTAAAATTCCACCAGTTAAATTATGGTACATACTTTTGATGGAATGCTAAGTATCCATTAAAATGATTATTTACATGTGTATTTATTGGTATGGAAGGATAATCATAATTACAGTTAAAGGAATAAAATCTATTATTATAAAAGAGTATGTTTATAAGTCAAATTTGGTTGACACATCGATATATGTATTCATATGTACATCTATGTGCATAGAAAAAAGGTTTGGAAGGCTTTACATCAAAATGTTAACAGTGGAAATACTGGTGTAGCTAGATAAATGGATCGATAGATAGATGTTGCTGTTACAGTTGTTGTTAGCTGCCATTGAGTAGGCTCTCAACTCATAGCAATCCCATACACAGTGGAACAAAACAGTGCCTGGTCCTGTGCCATCCTGATGATCCATTGCTGGTCGGACTGCTGTGATCCACGGGCTTTTCATTAGTGTATGTTTGGAAGTAAATCACTAGGACTTTCTTCCTAGTCTATCTTAATCTAGAAGCTCCACTGAAATCTGTTCAGCATCATAGCAACATGCAAGCCTCCACTGACAGACAGGTGGTGGCTGTGCATGAAGTGCATTGGCCAGGAATTGAACCAGTGTCTCCAGCAAGGAAGGTGATAATTCTACCACTAAAGCATGGCTGCCTCTCAGATAGATAATTTTGATTTGTTTTTGCTTGCCTCTGTTTTCTTATGTGAAATTCTTCCTTGTATGATGAAGAAAGAATGAAAGTATGAAAACAGCCTAATCTGTTTAAGTGGATTTTTCACACAATCTTATGATTAGGGGCTGGAAATATTCATTTGCTTTAAAAAATACCATATTTGTTCCAAAATATTTGGAAGAAACTAATCACTCTTGCTGTAACACTTCACTGCCAAGGTTAGTTGTCTAAAATCTGGCATTGGTTCATTCTGAAAGTTTGTATTATTATCAGATAATTTAAAAAATATGGTCTTCATCTTAGAAGCTCCTGGAAAAGCAGAAATTGCTCTCTACTGGGAGGCAAGAGATCCTGGTTCAACCTTTGCCATTAACTTTCTGTGTGAATTTGGAAAATTTAATCTCATTTTTTGGACTCAGTTTCCTCATCTATAAAAAATGACAGGATGAGAAGATATTGATGGCCTTTAACAGACCTAATATTTTAGGGATGTATAATGCATTTAAAAGCCAAACTACTCATTTGCAGAGAACTATATGAGGACATATAAAGGCTGGAAAAATAAAATAAACCAAACTGCCTAAAAGTCCTTTAAAGGATTCTGCTTCTGAAATTACAGAGAGTGTTTTTGTTACTTCTCTCTTTTAATATGACTTCTCCCTTAATGAGGTTTTTAAACAAATTATGTGTTAAATGTCAAAAGGAATCCCTGAGTAGTATAAATGGTTAACTTACTTGGTTGCTAATCAAAGGTCAGAGGTTTGAGTTCATCTACAGGCATCTTAGAAAAAAGACCTGGTGATCTACTTCTGAAAATCAGCCATTGAAAACCCTGTGGAGTACAGTTCTACTCTGATACACATGGAGTCACCATGAGTTGGAGTCTACTCCATAGCAGCTAGTTCAGTGTCAAAAGATACTTGAACGTTGGTATATTTATGACACCTGGTGGTCAAGTCAAACATCACAGCTAAATTTTGATCCCCCAGATACATACTCATTCGCTTCCACTTAGTGGGATGTTTTTTTAATCCATATTTATCCATTCATCATTCAGTCAGTCATTCACTCAACAAACACTTAGTCAACTCCTAATGTATTCCAGATACTTTTATAAACAGAAGAGACTGCGTCTTTAATCTGTAGGAGACTGGTATTTATTTAGAACAACAAAATACACCCCCATGGAAAGGCAAATAACTACTGCATGCTGGGTGTGTTTAGTGCACTCTCAATAAAGAAAATTATCAGAACTATGGGAACTCTGAGGCCAGAGGAGTGACCTGTAGTTCGAGGAGGTTTGGAAGGCTTCCTGGAGGAAGTGAGCCTTGCCTTTCTTGGGACCTAAGTTCCCTCATCTGTAAAATAGCAATGATAATAGGATTGTCATATAGAGTTCTTGTTAGGAGTTAATTGAGAGAGTATATATAAAGCACTTAACATAGCACCTGGCTCAAAGTAGGCATTCATTAAATATTAGTTATTATTATAACAAATCCAAGGATGATCAGGTAAGTCTTCATGTATATTAGCTGTTTCCTTAATTTTATTTCATGAATAGTTCTGGTTCAAGTTTATACAGCTTTTTATTTTGACTGAGTATAAACATCTGCTAGATTCCTTTAGTTAGTTCAGTGAATAAACAAACAGATAAACCACAAAAAAGATAGTTTTGGCTCCATTTACAGTTTCCTATACTAACTGAACGATTCAGCAAAATTGTCACCTCAGTGAAAAAAAAAAAATTTAAACTAGCTGTTTGTCTGAATAAGCTGGCTGTTTGACTGTTAGTCAGCAAATATAATCTTTCTGAGAGCTCCATGTAGTTAGCTCAAATAGGTTATTTGGCACTGTATGAGCTGTATGTGGGTTGACTGCATTACACTTTTTAATTGGTTATGTTTTACCCCATATTGCTTTCCCAACTCATATTTCAAAAGTTGTTGCAAAAATATGCATTTACTTTTGCACTTGAGTACAAAGTAGTCAATGTTAAGGCTGTCTTATTTTCCTTTTAATTCCACAAAATGTAAATTCCACAAAAGGTGAAGCAAACTTACTGCATTTGCAAGCAATAAAAAGTACAAGGGAGTATTAAAATCCCATTTATCCTTTTGTTTCTAAAATCAGATACATAAATCATATTTTCTAAAAATATCAAACATTTAAGTAGTTAAACTTTCACATTCAAGGGTAGAATAAACTGTATTGTAGTGGCTTTTGGCAAAAAACAATCATGGTTTGAACCAAAAGAAAACCCAGAACAGGAGCATTTCATATTATGGATGAATGTTTAATCCAGATAAGGGAAGATTTGAGAGAGAACAGGATTGCTGCCTTCAGATACTTAAAGAGCTTTCATGTGTAACAGGGAGTAGACTTAGTTTATTTGGCTCCAGCAGACAGAACTAAGATGAAATGACAGGGAAACAGATTTTGGCTCACTAGAAGGAAGAATTTTCTAACAATTAGGATTGTTAAAAATGTAACCATCCACATTAATAACTTTTCATTGGACTTGCACTGAAAGCTACAAAGAGAGATGGAGCTCCTTTTGTTGAAAGCTGAAGTTCTCATAATGTCTGAACTTTAAAGTTACGGAAGCTCTGGAAAGTGCCATGACACTTGTTATTCTTAGGTGCAGTCGAATCCTTTTCTACTCATAGCGACTCTATGTGACCGAGTAGAACAGCCCCGTAGGATTTTCTTGGCTCTAATCTTTATGGAATCAGATTGCCAGGTCTTTTCTCTCATGGACCTGTTGATGGGTTCAAACCTCAGACCTTTCTGTTGGCAGTCAAGCACTTAACCATTACGCCACCAAGGTTCCTTCCACTACACATAACCAAAAAAACCATACTCATTGCTGTTGAGTTGATTCCGACTCACAGCAACCCTGTAGGACAGAGTAGAATGGCCCCATCGAGTTTCCAAGGAGCACCTGGTAGATTCAAACTGCCAACCTTTTGGTTAGCAGCCATAGCACTTAACCACTACACCACCAGGGTTTCCCCATGACACGTTGTTGTTAGGTGCTATCGAGTTGGTTCCAACTCATAACAACCCTATAGGACAGAGTAGAACTACCCCACAGGGTTTCCAAGGAGTAGCTGGTGGATTTGAACTGCCAACCTTTAGGTTAGCAGCCGAGCTCTTAACCACTATGCCACCAGGGCTCCCCATGACACATAAGCAGGACTAACTCTGAAAGAGGCAAAGGTTATCTGAGTTGCACTCTCTTTTCCTAGTCCCTGTCAGTCCAAGGCCTGCTAACCTGCCAAACTTTCCCCAGGTCCCTATCACATGTCTCATTCCATAAAAGTACACAGACTCACCTCAGCAATCACCTATTCCCTAATAAGGATGCAGTTGAAGATGAGTTAAATTTTTGCTCTCCTAGGGTCAGTGATAGCGGATGCAGCTAGATCTCAAAATTTCAAAATCCAGATGGGGAAAAGTGTAAAATGTGGAACCCAATAGGAGTGCTGGAATGCATATCTTGGAGCTATTTTGCAGTGAGGTCTTGCCTATGGGTTAGCTCTGCAAGTCTGATTACTCTCTCTTACTAATAAGGGAGAAATCTGACAGGTTATTGCCAAAATAGTGATCTTTTCGATTCCTAAAAATATCTTCCTTTTGATATTTCAGTTTATTTAGAAAAGACCCTTTTATGATTTACATTTGAATACTTCTTTGGTAGGAAACAAATATATCTGTATACTCAAATATAAGACTGATAATGGCCTTGACTCTATTTTTACTCAATTTTCTGCAGAAATCATCACTCTAATGCTTTCCTTAAGGAAGGAACATAAATCCTCAGAATGAGAAGTAACAGCATGAACAGTACAAGAGCAAAGTGCATGGATCTTCAAATGCCATTTCAGTACTCGCTCTATGCAACCACCTATATCCTCATATTCATCCCTGGTCTTCTGGCCAACAGTGTGGCCTTGTGGGTTCTGTGCCGCTTCATCAGCAAGAAAAATAAAGCCATCATTTTCATGATCAATCTCTCTGTGGCTGACCTTGCTCATGTGCTGTCCTTACCCCTCCGGATTTACTATTACATCAGCCACCACTGGCCTTTCCAGAGAGCCCTTTGCCTGCTGTGCTTCTACGTGAAGTATCTCAACATGTATGCCAGCATTTGCTTCCTGACGTGCATCAGCCTTCAGAGGTGCTTCTTTCTCCTCAAGCCCTTCAAGGCCAGAGACTGGAAATGTAGGTACGACGCGGGCATCAGTGCTGCCATTTGGATCATTGTGGGGACTGCCTGTTTACCACTACCCATCCTGAGAAACGCAGACTTAGCCAACAACACTGAGTCCTGCTTTGCTGATTTAGGGCTTCAACACATTAGCATGGCTTCCGCCATTGGCATGGTAACTGTAGCTGAAATTGGAGGGTTTGTGTTACCTGTTGTAATTATCACCTCTTGCACATGGAAAACGAGAAAATCCTTAAGGGAATTCCAAGTTCCCTCACAGAATACCGAAGAGAGAAAAAAGGCTTTGCGGATGGTCCTGACATGTGCAGTAGTGTTCGTTGTGTGTTTCACCCCTTACCACCTCAATTTCCCCTTCTTTATGATGGTGAAGCAACATGTGTTTTCCAGCTGCTCGTTTATTAAGAGCACTCTATGTTTCCACATCATTTCCCTGTGTCTTGCAAATCTGAATTGTTGTCTTGATCCAGTTGTATATTATTTCATGACTTCAGAATTTCGTGATCAATTTTCAGAACATGGTGGCTTGGTTCTTCAGTCATGTGTGAGGTGTCAGGAGAGCAATTGGGAAATTAATCAGAGGAAGGAGGATCTTCAAAATATCTCTCTTGAATTTTTGGATGATTCCAAGACAATTTAATCACATAATTAGCTAGAACAATTCATATAATCTATCAGTTTAGCTATATCATATTGAAGATTTTTAAAAAATGATGTTGATGAATACCTTAAAGAAAAACTGATCCCTTCCCTTTATCCTCAAAATGATTCTTATGAAAGAAATATTCATGCCTGTATTTCCTCCCCAAATGGAAATATATTGTCCTATGGAGTATGTGAGCAAGTATCTTTCTTTACAGAAGGTGATCGGCACCTTTTCCTGAGAGCAGCAAAAGGTAATTTGATCACAGGTGGACTTAGTGTATTGTCAAAACATTTGAAATTGTACAGGAAAACTATATGATTCTAGCTTTATCTAGAAAGTATACACTAATTGAGTAGACTGAAGAGTAGCTTCTTATTGATGTTAATATGAGTTAAGGAAATTATTATAATTTAGAATATCTATGACACTTTCCCTTTCCATGCTTGGGGATACAGATAATTCACATTAATCCAAAATATCTCTAAAGTATCATGAGGTTCACACAACACACACACACATACACACAGCTTAAAGACAAAATGTTATGTTCTAACACATTTCACAACCTTAAGAATTTCAGGGTTTGCAGTGAAGATTCTTTGCTTGGATTTCTCTGAGTGCATGTGAAGTGATACTGTTTTTATATATTGGCACTGATTCAGAAAATATTTTGTTATATTTGTTTATTAAAATCAGCTATGTCATAGTCTCCCTAGTTTGATTGCTTTTTATACAATCTGAGTCACAATTTCACTTGATACATTTAGATTAATGAATAAAGAATCACATACATACATGCAGTTTTTCAGTTGCTAAACTCTGTATGGACCTCATTTAATACAAGTAAAGTTATGTATAAGGAGAACACTGGTGAATTGAACCCTATGATAAATGCAGAATGGAATATTGCTATTTAAAAAATCCCTTTGATTAAATCCTTTTGTAATATAAATCACTTCCCTTGGAAAATTTGAACCTAAAATTTCATATATTGGGGTTCCTTAAAATAGAACATAACATTTTTTCCCCTAAATTTTATTTATTTTGTTGTTGTTGTTGACAATATACACAGAAAAACATACACCAGTTCAACAGTTTCTACATGTACGGTTCAGTAACACTGTTTAAATCTTCGAGTTGTGCGACCATTGTCACCCTCCTTTTCTGAGTTGTTCTTCCCTCATTAACAGAAACTCACTGCCCCCTAATCTTTCAAGTTGCTGTTGTCAATTTGATGCCATACAGATAGTTCTTAAAAGAGCATAATGCTCAAGGCAGACTTTTGTTTATACTTAAGCTAAACTATTATTTGGTTTTAAGAAGACTTCAGGGGATATTTTTGGTTTAAAGATAATCTCAGGGTGATAGTTTCAGGGATTCAACCACCCTCCATGACCCAAGAAAGTCTAGAATCATGAGGATTTGAAATTCTGTTCTCCATTTTCTCCCTTTTGATCAGGATTCTTCTATAGAATCTTTGATCAAAATGTTCAGTAATGGTAGCTGGGCACCATCCAGTTCTTCTGGTCTCATGGCAAAGGAGGCAGTTGTTCATGGAGACAATTAGCCACCCATTTCATATCCTCCCCCTATTTCTGACTCTACTTTTTTCTCTGTTGCTCCAGATGAGTAGAGACCAATTGTTGTGCCTTGGATGACCACTTGCAAGCTTTTAAGACCTCAACCACTATGAAACAAACTAGGATACAGAACAGAAGCACTAAACATGTTATTAGGCTAATTAACTGGGCTGTCCCATGAAACCATGACCCTAAATCTCCAAGCCAAGAACCAAATCCCATGAGGTTTTTGGTTGTACATAAGCAATCTAAGCAGCTACTCTGAGATGCAAATCAAACCACAATGAGATGCCATTTCACTCCCACTAGGATAGCTAAGATTAAAAAAAAAAAAACACACAGAAAATAACAAATGTTGACAAGGATTTGGGGGAACACTTAGGCATTGCTGGTAGGAATGCAAACTGATATCCTGATATAGCTGTTGTGGAAAACATTGTGGTGGTTCCTCCAAAACAAAATAGAGCTACCATATGACCCAGCAATTCCACTCCTAGGTATATACCCAAAATACTTGAAAGTAGAGACTCAAAAAGATACTTGTACACTGTCTTAGGCTGGGTTCTCTAGTGAAACAAAATGAATGAAGTATATATATAATCAAACAAAATCAAACCCATTGCCGTGGAGCTGATTCCAACTCATAGCAACCCAATAGGACAGAGTAGAACTGCCCCACAGGGCATAAGGTATCCAAGGAGTGGCTAGTGGATTCTAACTGCCAATGATTTGGTTAGCAACTGAGCTCTTAACCACTATGACTCACGTAGCTACAGGGGCTGATGAACCCAAGATCAGCAGGTCAGATGGCAGGCTGCTGGCTCAAGTCCCAAGAACAAGAGTTCAGATGATGACGAACCAAGCGCAGGATCCAGAGCAGAGCAAAATTCAGCAAGCTTTGCCAGAAAGTCTATATATATATTAGATGAAGTCCACACCTCCAAGGAAGTTCCCTTTCAACTGATAAGCTGCTCATAGCAGATATCATCATGGAGGAGATTCCATTATATCAGATCTCATCATGGAGGTGATTACATCATCACATACCTGCCAAACTACATCATAACTGCCAAACCACTGAGAATCATGGCCCAGCCAATTTGACACACAGCCTTAACCATCACATGCACTATGTTTATTATTGCCCTATTCACAATAGCCAAAGGTGGAAGCAAACTACATGCCCATGAACAGAAGAATAGATAAACAAAATATGGCACATACATACGGTGGAATACTACTCAGCCAGTAGGAGAAACGAAGTCTTGATACATACTACAATATAGAAGGAACTTGAAGATGCTATGCTGAGTGAAATAAGTCAATCAGAACAGGACAAATATTGTATCGCCTCACTTATATAAAAAGACAAGAAAACTCAAACTTATATAGACCAAAGTTTATTAGAGGTTATCCAGGGCAGGAGGGAGGTGGGGAAAGGGGGTTAATGGTGATGGAAAAATCACATTGATTAAGGGTTGAGTTGTATAGATGATTATTGTAATTGCTCTCAGTAAGTTGTACACCTGTAAAAAGTTGAATTGGCTAAAGTTGTGAGATAAATATATTTACAAAGACAAAAAAATAATGTAACAATTTAAGAGCAGTGGTTAGTTATATAATACTATACAGACTTCTTTTCCTGTCTTTATAAGATTGAAAATTTACAAAATGTTTCACTTGTGTGATTTTTTTGAAATAGTAATTTTCTATCAGTCACAAAAGGAGAATATAATTTAGCACAGGGGAGAAAAAATCCAGGGTAAAACCAAGATTCCCTGAAATCATCTAGAAATCTGTATTTTAGACAGTTGTTTTCTGTAGAAATGATCATGTACCATTTTAAGTATCTGAACATTTTAAAAACCATTTTAGGTGCAAATATTTCTTTCCTACCCAAGCCATTTGTGTTAAAGGAGACATGGTGCATGAAAGAAGCACGAATCCAGATTCAGAGGACAAGGGTCCTAGTTTTAGGCCTGCCACTGAAAAGTTATGTGATCTTGGACAAGTCACTTCTCTTTGGGTTTCAGTGTTATTATTTATACATAGGGGGCTAGACTAGATAGCTATATGAGCCGTATTTTTTGGAAAGTGTTTTCTGAACACTAAGGCACTTTACAAATTATTGTTGTTGTTAGCTATATTATTATTGTTGTTATCATTATGTAAGGAAAGCTTCAACTCTAACATTTAGTGTAACAATTTCAGGATGACTGAGAGTCATTACAAATATCAGTTGTGGTACTGTATATTTTTCTTCTCTCTGGGCTATTGAAATCTGTATGAGTGTTTGTCTCTACATTAAAAAGGTCTCATGCATGTTTATTTCCTATGTTGGTTTTATAGTGCTTTTATCTATATTTCTCTTTGAGCTATTCGCTCTCACTTTTTGCCACTGTTTAAAACAGTCTCTGTTTTTAATTAATTACTCTAAACTTTTTGGCTTTGAAAGCACATTAATCAAGCTAGTTAGAACAAAATTTAAACTTAACTAATATGAATAAAAGCTTGTTGTTTTATTTTATTTGGAGAAGTGTGTGAAAAAGGGAAAATCTTTTATGGAACTAAACATACGGGTTTTAGTTTATGGACTTTGTAGCATCTATTTTGGCTCTTCAGGAATATTTTGCTTCCTTCCTGGCTCTGTCAGCTGTGTTTAGATAGTTGAGGTTGCCAGATGTATGAGTTCTGGATGAAAGAGGTGTGACTAGATATTTTTGACACCTAGATGTTCTTGAAATTTAAATATTTCAGCTTACAATGTCTATCTATCTCTATTTCTATCTATATCTATCTTGTTTTCAACATAAATTGCTGATTATATTTAGTTATATATGCTTTTTAAAACTAAATTTCCAAAGGCATTACTTGTTAAATCAAGAAATCGTGTATTCAGAACTGTTTTATTGCTCTTAGGGAAGTTATTATCCATTTGAACATAATGCTCTTAAGAAAACATCTGCTCACTCTGGCCTTTTCTCCCTTCCTATTTAGGAGCACTTGGAGCCCTGGTGGTGCAGTGGTTAAGAGCTTGGCTGTGAACCAAAAGGTTGGCAGTTCAAATCCACCAGCCACTCCTTGGAAACCCTATGGGGCAGTTTTACTCTGTCCTAAAGGGTCACTATGAGTTGAAATCGACTCTACAGCAACAATTTATTTTGGTTTTGGCAGAAATTACCCTATGTATTTGAAGTCCTATTTGAGACTATATTAATCTTTTCTTTTTTGAAATTGGTGTATTGTTATCATGAATAACAAACTTTACCCCTTGGATTTGGGGAAGCAAAGGAAACAGACTGCCTTACTAACTCTCTTGAAATTATCAGAATTCTCTGAAAAGCTCCAATTTAATCCTGTTTCTAGTTGTTGTTGTTGTGTGCCATGGAGTTGATTCTGACCCTATAGAACAGAATATAACTGTCCCATAGAGTTTCCTAGGCTGAAATCTTTATGGGAACAGATCGTCAGGTCTTTTCTCCCATAGAGCAGCTGATGGATTCGAACTTACGACCTTTCGGTAAGCAACTGAGTGCTTAACCATTGCACCTCCTTTCTACTTCTAGAGGAAGAGCTGCATGCAGTCATCTTGATCTAGTATTTCTGGGGCCTAAGGAATAACAAACCCCATCCCTATTCCTCAAAACTCTGGAATTCAGGAGTTCCAAAAATGGCAAGACTCGGTCTACCATTATAACTGATTGATAATAATTAGACAGAGTTGGGCTCTAGTCTCTGTTTTGCCCCTTCTTAACTTTGTGATCTTGAGGGAGACACCTTACCACTCTGAAGCTGATTTCTCATTTGTAAGATGGTTATAATAATCTCTGCCTTTTCTGCTTCACCCTTGTGAGGATACAATAAGAAATGTAGATGAGAGTCTTTGTAAAGAGTAACAGTTATTTAAACATAACAACACAATGAGAAGTAGTATAGGAATGGAACCAAGGAGAGGAGATAAAGTGCCCCTCTCAACTCATAACAACACAGAAGATGTCATTAAGTATTTTATAAAATCTATCAGCACCATAGAAAATATGAGGGTTAAAGCAGTGCCCAGAGTCAAGATAGCACTGAATGAGGCCTCCTGAGAGTGAGAAGAGGAGCCCTTTAAATTAGCCTTACCACAAAGTATTTAGATTCAGTTTTTCAGAGAAGTGAATTAAGATTAGAGTTGTTGTTACTGTTAAGTTGCCATCCCAATTCTGACTCATGATGACCCCACGTGTGCAGAGTAGAACTGCTCCATAGGGTTTTCAAGGCTGTGACGCTTTCAAAATCAGATCACCAGGTCTGTCTTCATAAGTACCTCGGGTGGGGTTGAAGAGCCAACCTCTTGGCTAGTAGTCGAGCACGTAACCATTTGTGCCACCCAACTACCTAAGATTAGGGTTAGGGATCTTGGAAGATATCAAATATCAGAGATTGGCCATAGCGTTAGTGAACAATGAAGATCCAATAGAGCAGCAGTGAGTGTCCCCTGGGATTAAATTCTCTGGATGGGAGGCATGGTCTCCAGAACAAAGGGAAGGAATGAATTTGAAACAAATCTAGAGGAATCTATAGTTGCAGAGGGGAGGGCTGAGGCCAGGGATATCTTACCTAATGACATTGCACGTGTGTA